GTTGCCGGACACGGAAAAAAACAAAAAAAAAAAAAAAAACACTGATTGCTAGGACCCACCCACAAAGTTCCTGATTCAGTAGGTCTAGGGTGGGGCCTGAGAATTTGCATTCCTAACACCTTCTCTGGTGATGCTGATGCTACTAGTTCTAGAGCTAGGTTTTGAGAACCACTGCCCTGGAGGAATTCTTTACCAAATGGGGATGAACAAGATAATACCAATTTGTTAAATTACCTCCTTGGGTTCACAGAGCCCTAAAACAGTGCTTCATTTGAATCACAGCAATCTTATGAGGCCTACAAGGCAAGTATTAATAAACCTGTTTCAAGATGAAAAAATTACAGCTTAATGTTAGTAGGTTAATGTGCCATGGTTCTATACCCAGAACCTCTGACAAGACAAGTGGGTTTGCATATTTTCGAAAGCTACACCAAGTTTACATTTGCTTGCATGTTCCTGATGCAGGTGTTTATCCATGTGGCATACACCAGGATATAGACACCTAAGTGATTTGATAGACACCACTATGATTTTTGTTTGTTTGTTTTGGCAGCTGGCCAGTACAGAGATATGAACCCTTGACCTTGGTGTTATAACACCGTGCTCTAACCAACCGGGCCAGCCCACCTCTGTTTGAGAGAGAATCTTCGCCTCTAATGAGAGAATAAGGATCAGCTTTGTCCTCTCATTTTATTTGGATTTGACTCTTAAGACATGCAGGCTGTTTCTAACAAAAGTATAGAAAGGCTTTCAGTTCATTCCAAAGGTATTTAGCGTCTATGCTGTGCCAATTTTGCCAAGCACATTGAGTGTACTAGAGAAATAGAGATTAAAAGTTATCTTCTTTTTGCACATGCTCATGGCCTAGTTAGGGAAACGAAACTAATGCATAATGAAAAAATTAAGGGAGAATCTAAGACAGTGTGATGAAGGAAAAGGAGAAATATGAACTGTAATCCTGAAAGTTGACTGTTATAGGGACAGAGCAGAGAGTAATTTGAACTCAGGTTCTAGTATCAGCAGAGTTGTGAGGAAGGAATGAACCCATTTGGGACAGAACCCGTCTGTTATCATGGGTAAAGCACAAAGCTTGGAGTCCCAAATTCTGAACAGCTACATACTGTTCCTTACTCAGGATAGATCACTTAAATTCGCTGATCCTCAGGTTACTCATTTGTAAAAGAATAATTACTGATCTCATCCAATTGGCTGAGAATTAAACAAGATAGTATATTTGAAAGCATAAACATCAAATCCCTTGCAACTGAAGGTTGATGTAATTTCTCATTGGAGAATTGGAGAGTGTTGAGAATGAATGTGGCTCCTTTAAAGGTTTTTGAACAAGATGATGTTTGTTTGTTTTTACAGCTGGCTGATACAGAAATCAAACCCTGGAACCTTGGTGTTGTCAGCACCATACTCTAACTGAGCTAATCAGCCAGCCCAGAACAGAAGATTTTTTTAAAAGTCACTTATTTATGTCCATTTATCCATTCAACTTCATTTATTTTGTGCCAAGCACTATGCTGGGTACAGAAGATTTAAAGGAATCAGCACAGAGCTCTCAGTTCATCAGGGAAAATAGATATGAAATAAATAAGTGATATGATTGAAGAGTATAGAAAGAACCATGCAGTACAAAGGAGGAGCTCCTCAACTGACTTAGAGCGTCAAGAAAGGCTTTTTAGAAGAGGTTGCTTGCTTGAAGGATCAGGAATGGTTCAAAGGACAGTGTTTTCCCAGAGTAGGGCTTTATTCTGTCAGAGTAAGCATAGTGAGGACTGGAGTGATGGTCAAGAATGATCCCCTATAAGGAGGCAGCATTTTTGCTGGATATCAGAAGAGAAACCACATTAGACAGACAGAAGGGGTGGAAAGTTGTCCTCAGCAGCGGGATTGTAGTCAGAGGGGTGAAGGATGAATTGGTGGATTGGGGAGAGAAGGCTATAGTATTAATAGACCAAGTGGGTATTAAGGTTCTGGCTCAAGCTGCAGAATATTCAAGGTACATAAAAGATGCCTGTAGGGCCGAGCCCATGGTGCACTCGGGAGAGTGCGGCGCTGGGAGCGCAGCAGCGCTCCTGCCGCGGGTTCGGGTTCGGATCCTATATAGGGATGGCCGGTGCGCTCACTGGCTGAGCGCGGGTACAGCCGGTCACAAAAAGGACAAAAAAAAAAAGATGCCTGTAATCTCTCTGAATGACCCTTTTGTCATCTCCCCTTTTTGTTTATAGGAAGAATCTGAGTGAGCTAGATCAGATCCAGCAGTACTTCAGCCAGAAGCTCACCAAGACTTTCCTACCCCTCAGCCCTCAGACTCATACTACCATCTTGCAGTGCCAGGAGAGCCATCAGGACCATCTTGGGTCAGGAGCCAGCAGCCTAAACCCTGAGAGCCAGTGCATCTTGGAGAAATCCAATAACCTGGTTTTGCAAGTCAGCTCCTTAATCACAGGTATGGCTCAGACCCTTTCTTGTTGAGGAGTTATGGTCACTAGGTGCCAATTCCAAAAGCATTTGAATGTCTGCCCTCAGGCAAGCCCTTGTGACAAATAGAGACCAGCGGTTTTCACCATCTTCCCTTTTTGTTTTTTGACCATCTTCCTTTTATTTATTTAATTTTTTTTAAAGATGACCAGTAGGAGGATCTTAACCCTTGACTTGGTGTTGTCAGCACCACGTTCAGCCAGTGAGCAAACTGGCCATCGCTATATGGGATCCGAACCCATGGCCTTGGTGTTATCAGCACCACACTCTCCTGAGTGAGCCACAGGCCGACACCGACCATCTTCCTTTTAAAAAGAGGGATATAATAGGGCACAGAAACATGGGTAATGGAAAGAGCTTTGGACTGAGAGGTAGGAGACCTGTGTCCTTGGTGGGTTTCTGGCACAGACTTGAGTTTGTTTCCCCAACCAAAAACAAGGTGGATGGATTAGATGAGAGGTTCCTCAATAGCAGTTTTTGAGCTGTACTGTTTTCTTTTCAGAAAAAAATAAACTACAAACATAATTTAAAATTCTAATTCTCAGAGCCCAGAAGTCTGCCTTTTTAACAAGTACCCTAGATGATTTTGGATGTTAGTGATCCATAATCTACCCTTTGAAAATCCCTTAGAGTAGTATATTAGTCCATTTCTGTTGCTTGTAACAAAATACATGGAACTGGGTAATTTATAAGTAAATGAAATTTATTGCTTATAGTTTCAGAGGCTAGGAAGTCCAACACATCTGGTGAGGGTCTTGGTGGTGGCAACAGTGACCCAGGGATCTCACATGGCAGAAAATGGTGGAGCAGAGAGAAAAAGACTAACCTCCTCTTTAAGCCCTCAGAACCATGCCCATGCTCACCATTTTTAATCTGTTCATTAGATTGCAATTTAATCTGGTGATTAGATTGCATGGTCCTACAATCTAATCACCTCTTCAAGGCCCCACCTTTCAATTACCATAATAGGATTTCCCATCCTCTTAACACTGTCACAGTGGAGATCAGGTTTTGGGGGGACACTCAATCCAAGACAAATAGTGATTCTCACTCTAGCTGCATATTGGAATTATTGAGGGAGTTTTTAAAAATCCACATGCATGGGCCGACCCCGTGGCTCACTCGGGAGAGTCCGGTGCTGGGAGCGCAGTGGTGCTGGTAGTGCCGAGGCCGTGGGTTTGGATCCTATATAGGGATGGCCGGTGTGCTCACTGGCTGAGCGCAGTGCGGGCGACACCAAGCTAAGGGTTACGATCCCCTTACCGGTCACAAAAAAAAATAAAAAAAGAATCCACATGCCCAGGTTGCACCATAGGTCAACAGAATCTCTGAGGGTGGAACCCAGGCATCAGTATTGTTTTTAACTCTCCAAGTAATTCTGGTGTGCAGCCAAGACTGAGACCTCTCTAGAGCAAGTATTTCCCAAACTTGCCTAAGTACAAGAATCACCTGGGACACTTATTTTGAAATACAGGTTCTTGGGTTTTTCTCCATCCTACTAAATCAGGATCTAGGGTTAAGGCCTGGAAATCTTTATCAGGCAAGCTTTGGCGAACATTGAGAAATCACCTATATCAGCATCTTTAGCCCTCACTTCGTGTCATTTTGCTCAAGCAAAATGTGTAGCTTCTACACAGGGATGAGTAAGTTCAATGTTCTCTGTTTAAAGAGGGAAGGGGAGCCATGATTGATGTTAGGTACAAATCTTCCTATCCTCTTCTCCCGGATACCTAACCTGTTGGTATCAGGGCCCCAGATGTATACTCTGTGTTTGACTTCCACTTGTTTGGATACATTCAGACAACTATTTATTGAGCACCAACTATGCCAGGCACTATTTGGTTACAGTAATGGACAAGACAGGCATTGTTCTGATTTCATGAATCTTATAGTCTATAGTTAATTGAAGAAACCTCCCCCAGAAAGAAAGGAGCAAACGAAGGAGGCTTATTTGGGGTAGAGATGGGGACAAATAGGGGAATCTCTTTAAAGGGGTATATTAAAAGATGAGAGAAAAGAGACAGAAGAGAATCGAAGGATTGAAGCAGGAGGACCTTGAAGCTGGAGGGCTTTGAAGCCAGACTTGGAAGTTTATTGTTTATCCTGGAATAAAATGGGGAATTCTGAGCAAGGGAATGACAAAATGAGAACTGATTTTCACAAGGACCAGATGAATTTCCAAAGGGAGAAATTAGATCAGGGAAATTAGTTTGGGGGGGCGGCTACCCCTGCCTCCATCATGTCTCAGTATACTTTTTTGAAGACGCCATTAGACAAGTGGATGAGAGTGAAACTTCAGAGTGAGGTGCTGAGTGGGATTTCATCGATGCCACTTTTATGTGCCAGGCTTTTGCTGGGTCCTGGAGGCATGTGAGTCAGACATGTGGTCCCTGCCCTGAGAACCTCACAGTCTGATGGGAACATACAGACAGACTATTACACCATAGCATTCTTAAGTGCTTTGTTACAGAACAAAGCCATGTACTGATCCCATCCAGCTGGTGCATCTGGGAAGGCTTCCTGGAGGAGATGCAGTAGAGTAGGGCCTTGAAGGATGGCCTGATTTGTAAAAAGCAAGAAGACTACCTCAAGACAGAAAGTATAGTTCAGACCAAACAAACTAAGTTTGCTTCCTGCTGCTTGTACCTATTTACAGGTAGGGATGTTTCGTTTTCATACGTCTACTCATTCCCCTTTGAGGCCTGAAAATTGTCAATATATTAAACACTCAGCACCTCTTGCAGTGCTGTGCTCTGTTAGGTGCTATGAGAGAGACATGATCCCCTGTCTCCCAGGAGTCAAATTTGCCTCCTAACTTCCTCCTTTAAATAAACATACAAACATATATCATTAACTAGACCGATTTATGGATTTATTCATTTCCATTTCATCCCCAAAATAATTTGAGATGACTAGTGGCTTCAATTTATTAAGTGCCTGTATTTGCACCACACAATGTATACCCATTTATCTCATGTATTCTTTACATAAAAAATGGGCAGTGTTAATCACACCTTAAAGACAAATAGGCTCTCCTATACCAGCCAGCCGCCAAAAAAAAAGGCTCAGAGAGAATAGTTTGTTCATGATCACAAAGTTAACAAGTGGCAGTAGAGATTTGAACCCAAAATTGACCCACTCCAAAGCCTATGCTCTTTCCAACATACCCTGCTGCCTCTATTTTCTTTGTAAACCTCCCCTGCCTTATCATGTGGGTGGCAGATATTTCCTTACTTTCATTCTTCAAGTAAAATATATAGTTTTAGTAACTGTCATCAAATAGGTAAATAAGTGGATTCTCATTTTGGTTTTTAATTTAGGTAATTATTGAAGTAAATGGAAGCATGAACGTGCCCACCGGGACTCCCAGCTCCCTAGAACTCCTGAACATGAGCAAGTAGTCTCTGAAAGCATTTCCACAGATGTATCCACAACTATAAATAGATTAGATTTTGGTCTTCTGATATTAGAATAAAGTACTAGAAATTGTACTGCCTTGAATATAGTTTTGCTTACTTTTGGGCGGATTAACTATCTTTAAGGTTTGTCCAAAGTTTGATTGCAAGAATACTTCTGAAGCTAGAGGCTAGTGTGGGAAACTTCAGTGGTCTGTGGCCCTGCCTTGTAGTAAGAGTGATATCTGTTGCTGTTCAGATCTGCAGACTATCACCAGGAATTCTCAAGCAGCTTTGAATTCTCACCGAGCCAGGAGTAGGAACAGAGAGGTCATCACCCTCCCAGATGCTCAGGACACAGAGGTCGTGCAAGAACGAAAAACAACTCCAGACCAGCCATTGGCAGGAGCTCCAGACAAGGACACAAATTACCCACCTCCCCCTGCTCTTGAAGAGACTTCAGATGGAGGAGGAATGCTCCATGAGTCCCTGGGGCATACAGTACCTATTACAAGGACGCAGAGCAGTGAGGACATTGAGGCAGAACTTGCCTGTAGTGATGAGGACTATGAAGAAGACATCATTGAGCCCAGGACCCTAAATGAGATCACCACCATGACAGACAAAACTAGCCCTTGGTCCAGTTTTGTGTCAGATACAAGTGAGGTCATCAGCCCTCAGCCTGATGAGGTGCAGAGGGAAGGCCCCTCTTGTTCTTCTTCAGAACCTTTCCCCAGAGAGAAGCTCGAGGTCAAAAGTAGCTTTCTGTCCAGCCCACAAAGGCCTGTCAACCTCCTCCTGCCTAGGCAGTGTTCTCCTAGCCAAAATATTGTTGCTTGTGAGAGTGAGGCCTCTAAGGCCAGCACTGGAGAATCTGCCACAACTGACCCTCAGCTCATCCCACTCCTGACCCGCTCAGGAGCCCAGCAGAGCAACGCTTTTGTTGGATGGAGCTCACCACAGGCAGATCAGGACAAGGAGCCCAATCCAGAGGTTCAGGCTGAGAATGAAGCTACCTCCAGTGATTTCAGTGACTCTGCTGATAGCTCCAAGAAATTCTCTGTACATCTAGCCTCCCAGAGCAGAAGGGAAAGCCATAAGGGGCTACCCGTCAACTCCCCTGACATCAGGCAGAAACAGGTGACAGCTGGATTAGAGGTATCCACGAGGCAAAGCCTTCTGTATCCTTTGGTGTTCATCACAAGTGGCCCCTTAAGCCATCTCCAGGCATTTTGGATGCTGGTGCTTGGACCAGCCTGGTGTGAGCATGAGCAGTGGCCACCCTCATGGAATGTACTGGGGGGCATGGGAAGGCCCTTCTTTCAGAAGACTTCCCTTCATGACAGGTGCTACAGTTCTGCCATTAACACCAGAAGCGTAATGCTTTGAACTGGGTTTAGGTGTTGGTAGCACATTCATTAGCATAGCTTATCCTGATTTATGTGGTTCAACTATTGGGTATTTCATCACCTGAGGGCAAGGCTCTGAATCTAAGGAATGAGACCACTTATCTCAGTTGAATAGAAGTGGAGGGTGTGGAGAGAGAGGGAAGAAAAGCACTACTGTAGATTGATCATATATAGTGTGCCAAGAACTTTACATACATTTTTCATTCAGTCATCACAAGTCTTTTAGGTAGGTGTCATCTCTATTTTGCATGTAAGGAAAGTAAAGCTCAGACTTACTGTGACTTGCCTAAGACTTAATTCAAAAAGTGATGGAGCTAAGGGGAAGTGGGCACCATGGAGGTGGCCTTGCCCAAGCCCCCAGTCTGGCACTACTGATGGGAGAAGGAGCACTTGACATTCCCCCTCTTCCTCCTTTGAAACACAGACTGGCATGTTATGGGGAAAGGAAACCACTTAGGATCATCTACAGCCTTCACATCTATAGTCTAACCAGCTGATCAGATCAGCTTACCAGGTATCCCAGCTACAAGCAGAGATGATTAACATAACTAGTAGGTGAAGCAGGCTGCTTTGCTGTCTAGAGATCTACTGGATGTCAGGGGGCCTGACATCAACCCTTCTGGACCCAGCTCAATTCTTGTGTGACTTCAGGCATATGATTTAACCTTTCTCGAGCCTGTTTCTTCACCTCTTAGATGGAGGAAATAATCCCTTTTCCACCAGACTATAAGCTCCCAAGGTCAGAGACCTTGTCTTTTTCTGTGTCCCTAGCACCAGGCATTGCACAGAGAAGGGATCAGTAAATATAGGTGGAAATAAACTAATGGTTCCACAGGATTGTTGAGAAAATCAAATGAGTGGAAACATTTGTACACACCATACATGTGATTCTTGATACAGGTTGGAGAAAAAGCCTAAGGGTAGAAGATTGAGCTCAGGAAAGGTGTAAAGCATGAAATGGCTGTAGGCTGAGCAATGAAAGTAGACCAACTCAAGTGTTCTTCCCTGGCCTTGTTTGTCCTGGCTTCTGACGTTGCTGCCTTCACAGTCAACGGAGGAGCTGCTGCATGTGCCCAGACCCAGGGGCTGCTTTAATTCATGCCTTCCCAAGTATTTGTTCTCTCAGAAAATGAGTATTGCTGGGCCCTGTTGTGGGCCCTTAGGACGTATTTGAATCAGACCTTACCTTGAGAAGTTACATCATGAGGTAGGAGACAGTCAAGTAAACAAGTAATGACAGTTTATTGTTCCAAGTGCTTTGGTGAGAGATGGACAAGACACAAGGCAGCAAGAGGAAGGAGCTGCTATGATTCTGTTAAGAGGCAGTCCAGTAAGAGACAAGGGCCGGACCTTAAAGATAAATAGACACTGTGTAGGCAGAGACAAGGGAACATTCTAGTCAGGGCAAGCTGTATGCAGAGGGCTAGCCACATAAAAGATCCTGGCCTGTTGACTGTGGCTAGAGCCCAGGGGTAAGTGGGATGGTGAGAGGGGAAAAGGAGCCTGGATCTTTTTTTTTTTTTTTTTTTTTTTCTTTTTGAGACCGG